ATAGTAAAAGCTGTAGCATGAGAGTGCTGTGGCCACATGTGAGAACTAAAGCTTTCACATGGGTTCCCCAAGGCTGTTTCAGGCAAAGCTGCTCTTGGTAGGGTCATTACTCCAATAATCACATCAGCTTCCCTATTACTCACTTAATTCAACACCCTCCCCCGCTTTCAGGTGACAACAGCCTTGATAATTCCTTCAGCTCCTCCTCTTCCCCCAGTAAAACCCAGTTCTACTTTGTATTCATACTAAGATATGAATGGCCCTCCATGCTTTGGTAGATCATTTATCCAAGGCATTTTTTATTTTAATGGGAATCATTAAACTAGAGGGATAATTCAGCTCCAAAGGAAAATTTAAGACAGCAAATGGAATGATGCTGGATCTCTATAGGAATGTTAAACAAATTGTGGAGGAGAGAAAAATAAGTAATGGGAAAGTGATCACAATTACTGACTTAACAGTTCTACTGTTTGGCAGATTAATATTGTATTTAAAGATAACTTCAAAGGTCTTTATTATATCTTTCTTACTTGCCTTTCGTGGGTCCTGGGGGAGTCCAGTGATGGCTTATGAGCCTTGCTTCTGCCATTTACTGTCTGGATAATTTCAGGCAGTTCACCAAGCTATGAAATGAAGACCTTATGAAAGTGTCCAACGCAGTGTCTGCAGTACAGCAGGTGAGCAAAAAGTGTGGCTGCTGGTAGTGCTGAGCCCCCCTTAAGGCAGCATTCCTAGTTCAGAGACGCTTCAGAGTTACCTGTAACCTTGATATTGAGTGGGGGAGCTGCCACGCAATTGAGAGTCTTTAAGAGCATGATTTGTTGTTTATTTCTTGAGCTGTTCCCCTCTCTTCTCCCCATCCCAGTACATTGATTGTGCAGTTCCTGGCACATAGTAGGAACTCAATAATGCTTATTGAACTAAGCCTTTAAACCAAACTTAACTCAGAGTTAATAGAAACACGATCTCTTCTCAAGAAGAATTATAGAAGCATCACTCACTAAAACTTCTGACAAGGAAAAGGGGCGGGAGCACTTCCAGGCTTCCAGAGGGAGTCCCTGGGAAGGAGGAGAGGCCAGGAAAAGGCTAAGACCACTGGGAGGACAGAAGCCGGTCAGGCTTGGAGAAGGTTAGGAGAAGGGTTGTTTCTCACTCATGCAAAGATCTGAATGGACTAGTTTGTAAAACAAAGACTGTCAGCAGAAGTAATCTCAGAAAGCACTCAGGAATCAGCCTCAGGGCCAGAGGGGGTAGGTGACTTGTAGAAAGTCAGATACATAGCAAAATGGCTGGGACCAGCGTCCAAGGCTTGCTTGTTTATTCAGTGCTTTTTTTTTTTTCCAAGACAATACTGAGGTTTGCAAAAAGGTTTTATAAAGTACATTAAAAAAAAAAAGAAGGCTTTTTTTTGTAGTGAAAATTCTGGTGCTTCCCATTGATTAAGGTGTCTCTGATCCTTAAAAGACATCTAAATCTACTTTCAGTGGATCTAATTTTAAGACTGATATTGGATCACCTGTGTTAGGGTCTGGTTTTTATATAAAAATGATGAGGATTTTTGGTCTATTCTTGTAGTTGCCTCCACCTTTGTTGGGATCCTAAAAAGGCCTTTTTAATGCTATGTTTGGAATAGGAAAGATGATAGGGACAGGCCACTCCTTAGGGCATGGGGTATAATGTTAAAAAATAAGCATTCTTTTCCATATCAGCCTTCTCTATCAAAGGAATTGGTCTTTAGCATGATAAAAAAAATGATAGTCCAAAATAATTGAAGGTAATTAAGTTTTAAGATAGGTGAGATGATATAAGGAAGGTGCCTAATCCATTTACTTGAACTCAAGTCTTCAGACCCAAAGATGTTCCATTTCAGAATACAGAGAGAACTTGGCAGCTGTTCTAACAGGTTCCTAGGGGAGAGTATTAGTAGCCACTTTAAAGGATTAATGAGCTACCTGGGGTCAACAGTTATTACAAAGCCAAAGGAAAGTTCACCCCCAAGCCTCTCTGCCTCCAAAGTTCAGCAATTTATATTCTACCCGGGGCCCTCTGGTCATTAAATGGGTCCTAGTTCCTTCATAGAATCAGGGTTTTGAATGATTGCAACAGACTGAAAATGAAACATCCAAACCAACAAATGAAACTTAATAGAGCAAATGGTAAGTCCTACATTTAGAATATTTTTTTTTAAATCTGTGCAAATACAAAACAGAGGAGATGCAAATAATAATTCATGTTCAGAAAGGTTAGGAATCTCCACTGACTCCAAGCTCATAGCTTTGTGTGATACGGCTGCCAAAACTGGCGAATGAAATCCTAGGGCAGCATTAATGAAGTCACAGTGTTTAGACTAAAGGAATAGGGCTACCGTGCCTTGTCAGTCAGACCTCATCTGCAGTATTCGGTTCAGCTTGGCAGGTGCCCAGGGAAGGATAAATGAGGTAACGATGAGATCTGGAAGCCATGTCATATGACAGCTTAAAGGACTTGGAATGTTCATTTGGAGAACAGAAGGCTGTTCATTTTCGTAACTAGAAATATAAAGGAGGCAGTCACTTTGCTGTGTCGCTATACAAGACAGAACCAAGATTTACTAGGTGAAGGCAGACTGTAATATAAGAGAAAAGAAATGCGTGTTGTTGAATGGCCACCACGTGCCCTCTGTTGTGCTGGGTGTTTTATATTATTTTGTTAAAATCTTTTAGAAGCTTATGAGTGTGTGGTGGTAAGCTTCTAGTGGCTGGAAGTCAGGTGTTCAGCTCAGCACTGCTCATTTAAAGCATCAGTAACCTCTTTTCTGCTTTCTAGGCTTGCAAATGGCATGCAGGCCCTTTTGAAGCCAGCTTCCTACCTGGAGGCAGGCTCTCTGGGTGGCAGAAAAGGCCAATGTGCTTCTACAACGTGGATTGCCAACATAGCTTCAGGGTTCCAATCCCCACTGGATGGCTGACTGCAGGGGAGGGGCTAAGCCGGTATTTCCTGGCCAGTCTTGAATGGTGAGGTGGGCCCACCTTTGTCTAGGATGTGTCTGTGGGAAGCAGTAGGTGGTGGAGGAGAGCCTAGGAGTTCCATGAGCTTATGAGGGACGAGTGACCAGAGATGGGAATGACTCAGAAAATGACACTGCGTAGACATCTCTTAGCCAGCTGCAGGTGTTTTCTTCACATACATCTGTAGTTTAGAATCGCCCAAATGCCAAAATCCTCCATCCTTGAGTTTGCTTCTGGTCAAGAACAGTGGATCAGCCAGGGTCTTGGCAGGAACCAAAATTCAGCTTGGAGGATTCCAATGAAGAGAGTTTGGTGATGGGACCATTGAAGAGGTTGGGCAGGGAATCGGCAAAGGAGCCTCATACGCACCAACGGGTACTCTCCACCTTCAAGGCCATGGACTTGCTGTCTCCCTATTGGCCCACCTTGGTATCCACATGCCTCTTTCATCTCATTCAAGTCTTAGTTATAATGCTACTTTCTCAAGGGAGTATTGTAACGCTGTTCCTCATCACTCCCTTGCTCCTCCTCCACCGAAATTTTAGTATCACTTCATATCACCTGATATTTTCCTATTTTAATCATTTATTTATGATCTGTCTCTACTCACTACGTGGGCAGAGATTTTTGTCTGTTCTGTTTGTTGCTATAATCCTAGCACCTAGAACACTGCCTGGCCCAAGGAAAAGGTTCAATCTTTGTTTAATGAATGAATGAATGAATGAATACTAGTTAGACTTATTAGAGCTCAAAGAATTGTCCAGGATCCATCCTTCTGCTTCAACTTGCTGATCCTACTGAATTTTGGAGGGAAGCCCACTGAAATGCAATAGAGCCTTTGTTTGGCCACAAGAGGGTGATGTTGATCAGTTTTTCATTTTAGGAGCCTTGTCTGAGACCATTCACCTTTTCCTCCCAGACCCCAAAGAGAAAATGTGAAACAGGGTCATGTCTGCAGCCAAAGCAGACATACAGTGTGTCCCTTCCACCAGGACATTGCTGCACAACTGACATCCATTAAAACCTTTATCCAGAATGGTCTTGAAAGGAGAAAAGTGACCAGAAAGTGAGAGCTCCAGGAGTGCATGGGAGAAAGGAGCTGCCACGAAAGGCGTCTCCAGCACTTAGTTTCCGTACCCTGCAGACACCTCCAGCTGGCCACACCAGTTCATGTTCTGTGGCACATCCCTCCACTTCCCTTCCTTCTCCACCACCAATGCCCAGTTGGCTGTGCAGCAAAAGAGAGAGCTCTCACGTTACAGGGTCTAGGCTCACGATTCTGGTTCCAATTGTCACCCTCCAGATGCCACAGAAGAGAATTACAGACTCTTCAAGGAATCTTTATAAAGATGTTGTGTTTGGGGCCATATGGGATGATACAGAATCAAGGGGTCAGAAGCCCTGCCACCAAGACACACAGCAATGACACTGCAAGGTAGAAGTGGGCAGGGCAGTATGGGAAGCCCAGAGAAGGCACAGGCAGCATTCGGAAGAAGGCAACTGGGGCTGTTTCAGGTTGCGAGGGATCAGAGGAGACATTTGAATTAGGATTTGAATTTATTACAGCACTTGAATTCTAAAGTAATTTTCTTCTCAGTTGAGAACAAGTAACCATCTGCGTACATCTAAAAGTTCAGCTTTTCAGGATATCCTACTCCTGTAAGACACAGCGTAATATAAAAGAAAAGAGCTTTTATTGCTTGCAGGAGAAGACCATCATTAAGAAACAGAAGAGAATCTTTTGGTAAAGGTAACATATTATCCTCCCTAAAGGACACAAAGACCAAATTCACAGACCAACACAGTGAACTATGGTCAAACATATTTTTTATTTGAAAGAGAGACACTCTGGAGGGAAAGCAAGGGGAGAGAATGAAATGAAGCAGTCAGACATCAAAGCAGCCACTCTGAGTCAGAGCTCCCACTGCCTTCCTGGCCCTTCCCCTGCTTGGGGCCACAGCCCTGCCCCCCTTTCCACTCAGGTGCAGTGTGACGCCCCCAGGTCACTCCAGACTAATGTGGTAGAACTTCTTCCACCTCCAGAGTGAGGAAGGGAAATAAGACGTCCCTCAGCCTCTTCAAGGCATCTCTGCTCATTACCATGGGCAGGGCATCCACAAGGAGGTCTGGGTTTATGTACTGCAGGTAGAAAAGCATGTAACCCAGCAGCCTAATGAAGATCATGACCATGAAGACGAGATACTTGAAATGCCTGCAGAGAGACAGTCATGGTTAGCAAGGGGGAAAGAGCCCAGCATCCAGCAGTAGGAGGTGAACCTCACATTGTGACTGGTGAATAGCTTTCTTCATGCCAACCCGATGAGGAAGTGGGGAATGGAGACCCAAAGGGTGAGGGCAGGGGACAGGCAATAACAGAAAAGGACTGATGTGCCGGTGAGGAACTGCATACAGCCCTCCTGACATTTAAGCCCTCCAACAGAATAGATGTCCACATAGGAAAGCTGGAGACAAAAGAATAGGGCTTTCCAGGCATTATCTGCAGGCCTTTGTGAGGGTTGTCAGAAAATGTCCAGGACTGTCACACTTGAGAGTCTCATGATCGCTGACCTTCTTCAGATCTGCTGTAGCAAGCAGTTCTAGAATTTGAAATAAGTCTGGGCCATTTCTGATGCTAACAGCCACATAAATTGATAGGGTTATTTTTCCCTAAACAATCAAGTGCCCAAAGAAACCAACTCAAACAATAACAGATTGTGTGTGTGTTTATTTTTTCTTGTGTGCACCTAAGAAAATTCCACCCTGAAACCTGGCCTGAGGCCTTCAGTCTTTAACTATTTTGAAATGTCATAAATCGAAGCTTTTTGTCAAACGGCCACATGGAGCATTTCAGAGTTAGTCACCTTATTTCAAAAATTAAAAAAGGCACAGCTCAAACAATTTTTTTTCCTAAAATTTTACATCCTGCAGTAAATGAACTAAGAGAATTAATGCACCCTGAACTCTCTTTCCAGCAAAGAGTTTAGCAGATTATCAGATTCAGGATCTGAAAAATAGAAAATACTATTAGTTGTAAGAATGCAAATTGAAAGTGAAATGCAGCCTGCAGGTGTCACCTTGAAATTCTCAAAAATAGCCACTTTCTCCAGCCACCAAGTTCTGCATAACTCTGGTTTTGAGAAAAGAATGAAGGGTTGGGAGAAATCTGGGGCTGCGTGATACTTTCTGGTTGGTAGATGTGTTTGTCCTCAGTCCGTATGCTCTTATCAAGTTACTTACTTCTATAGAATGAAAAAGACCTAGATAAGGGGGAAAAATACAATTCTAGCACTTACCTGTACCAAAAGATTCTCTTCTGTTTCTTAATGATGGTCTTCTCCTGTGGGAAGCAATGAAAGCCATAGGTGTGCCTGTCCACGTGGTCACAAAGGGGCAGTATAGTAGGGTGGCTAAGAGCTTAGACTCAGGAGTCACTGACTCTGCCAGGTGTGAAGCAATGTACTGAGCCTCATTATTTCCTAACTCTAGGGATATTGGCCAGAAGAGGAGGGGCAGGGGGACAGGAAGAGAGAAGCAAGGGGAGGAAGGGATGGAAGAAAACCTCAACTCGAGAAAAGGAAGACTTACCATGTTGCTTTGGATGGTCTCCACCAGAATTGACCCAGGTTTCACTATTTGGGAAGAGTCGTTCTGGGCTTTGAATCTGGGTGAAAAAGATCAGATGCAAGAATTAAATAACAATCTGTGGGGCTGATGAAAGGTGCTTTTCTAAGTCATGCAACATCTATGATTTTTTTTCCTAGATTTTTTTTTGCATTGAAACTTTTGTTATTGAAGTATAGCCAGTTTACAATGTTGTGTCAATTTCTGGTGTACAGCACAATGCTTCCGTCATACATGGATAGACATAAATTCATTTTCATATTCTTTTTCACCGTATTTCTTAGATTCTTGATACCATGTGCAATGCTCAGTGTTCAAAATTCACAATTGGTCAACATACAAAGAAACAGGAAAATGTGGTCCATTTTCAAGAGAAAAGACAGTGAAGAGTAACTGAGACAATCCTGATGTTGGATTCACAGTGCAGAAAGTCTGTCTCTTGGTGGCAGTTCAAACCTCAGTCCGGGCTGTTCATAGACTGCCCTGAGCATGCATGGTTTTGGAAGTCAGCCTGTGATTTGGGCAGAGTGTAGGCAAAATTTGAGACTCTCCATCTGTTTTTTGTCCAGCAGTTTGACTCCCCAAACTCTGTCCTGTTTTCCAGCCCAGAGAGACTAAGTTTTCTCTAGGTGATTTCCTTCACCCTCACACACCAAGTTTAGCTTGCCCTCAGGCTAAAAGTGATAAAAATGGGGAAATCATCCCCTGCTGTTCCCTTCTTCCAAGTGTCAACTCCCCTCCAGAATCTGCATGGTTTTGTTTACTCTCCAGTGCCTTCTGAATGTTGATTCGTTTGTTTTGTTGTCCAGAATTTAGAGCTGTTCCCTGTCAGAGGGTCAGATCCAGTGAAAGCTTATTAGCCTTTACATGGGAATATCTTTCTGTAAACATTAAATAGAGGAGGAAAGGAAGAAGGGGCACAAACTCCAGGTTCTGGCTGTGATGGAACCACTTGTGTCAGACTAGTCCGACTCTACAAGCAACAATAAAACTGAACAAAATACATAAAACAGCTGTTTCAATGCATTGAAGAATGCAGTCAGAAGCTGAGGGGATACTAAACCCTGAGCAAAGTAAAGCACACAGAGTGAGCTCCTCATTCATTCAGGCTTTTTCCCAAGGGCGCTTGTCAATTTGTGGTCCAGCAGATAGAGTCCAGGAAGCAAGTGGCAGCACCAATTGGCTGAGACAGAGGTTGGAGTTCAAGACCATTGGGGGAAAGTCCAAGGGACGAAGGAGTCATAGAGAAATAAATTCAAGTATCTGTGTGAACTTCCCTATCAAGGTGATAGCTGGCTCCTAAGCTCTACATGAATAGCTCAAGATTTCAAGAAAGTCCAGAAAGCAGAAGATGCCTCAAGAGCTGAGCAAAGTATTGGAGTAGTGATGCAGTGCTGGGGAGTAAAAGCTGGAGTCTGAGACCTGTTAAACATGAAGGAGCACTGGTACATTTCCAAGGGGAAAAAAAAAAGACCCACAATCCTTTAAATACATACAGAAAAATCATTTAATAAAAATGAATACCTGTTTATAAAAAAAACTCAGCAAACTCAAAATAAAAGAGAAGTTTCTTAATCTGATAAAGGATGTCTACAAGAAACCCACATACACTACTTAATGGTGAAATATTAGATACTTTCCTCCTAAACTGAGTAAAACTCAAGGATGCCCACTGCCACCCCCTCTAGCCAATGTTGTAGTAAAACTCTTGGCTAATGCAAAAAGGCAAGAAAAAGAATTAAAAATATAAAGATTAAAAAAGGAATAAATACAACTGTCATTACTTACAGATGAGAATCTAAAAGAATTTATGAATAAACTATTATAATAAGTGAATTTAGCAAGGTTGATGGATACAAGTTCAATACAGTTGACCCTTGAACAACGTGGGCTTGAACTATAGCAGATTTTTTTCAATAAACATAGTATTTTCATTGTACAGATTTTTAAATGTTGGGAAAAGTTTGTGTTTGATTAGTGATCACAATATGAGGAATCAAAAGAACTAGGGTTTGAGTCCTGATTCCATCCAAGTTGTTTCAGCTTCCTGCCCTTGGGTGAGTTATTTATCAGTTCCTTTGTTTTTGAAGAAGTGATAATAGTAAATGAATTTTCAGCTGTGCAGGGGGGTTGCTCCCCTAGCCTCTGTGTTGTTCAAGGGTCAACTGTGTCTATAAGCCAACTGCATTCCTACATATGATCAGTAATCAATTAGAATATCAAAAAACAAATGTCTTATTTACAACAGCATCAAAAATATCATACGCCTAGGAATAAATCTGATGAAATCTGATGAAAGATGCACAAGCACACTAACAAACATTACAGAACATTTTTATGAGAAATTAAAGATGGTCTAAATACATGGAGGGATAATGATGTTCACGGCTTGGAAAACTCAATGTTGTTAAGATACTAATTAACCTCCAGATTTATCTGTTGATTCCATGTAATTCCAATCAAAGTATCAGCACTTTTTTTAGTAGAAATTGAAAAATTAATTTTAAAATTTATATGGAAAATCGAAGGGCCAAGAGTAGCCAGGATAGTCTTGAAGAACAACAGAAAGTTGCAGAACTTAAGCTATGATAAATCAAGACCAATTATAAAGGTACAGTACTTAAAACACAGTGTTCGTATCATCACAAGGATAGCAACTTTGACCATTGGCACAGAATAAATTATTCAGAAACAGACTCACACATATATGGTTACCTGACCTATAAAACAAAGCACCACTGACCACGTATGGTCTTTTACATAAACGGTGCTGTGCCAACTGGCTATCCACACACACAAGAAAAAGAATCTTGATCTCTACCTCACACCATAGAAAAAACCAAATTTCAGTTGAATGTAAAATCATAAAAGGTAAACAAACAAAATATTCTCGGGCAAAGCGTAAGAGAATAGTTTTATGAACTAAAGAAAGCACTGCACAAAAAAAAAAGAAAAAAAATTTGATGGACCAGATTTCCTTAAAGTTATAAAATTGTTTATCAAAGGATTCCATTAAGAGAGTAAAAAAGGAAAGCCATAGAAATGGCTATAATGTCTATATCTGACAAAGGACTTTATGTAAAAAAATAGAGTCAACTCCAATACATTAACAAGAAAAAGACTGACAATCTCCCAAACACAGGCAAAAGACACAAAAAGAGGGCATCCAAATTTCCAATAAGAATTTGAAAAAGAAAAAGTTATACACCATTAATAATCAGTAAAGAAATGCATTATTAAAATCAAAACTGAGTATCACTACACTCCTGCCAGAGTGGTTAAAACTAGTAAGACTGTAGATGCCAAGTGAAAATGAGCAAGTAGAATAATTAGAACCTAGTATAGATTTTTGTGGGAAGAGATACTGGTACAGCCACTTTGGAAAATTATTTGGCTTTGTCTAGTAAAGCCAAAGACACACACACACACACACACACACACACACACACACACACACACACACACTGTGACCTTTTGGTGTATAACCAAGAGACATGAGTGCGTATGCCCACCAAACGACATGCACAAGAATGTTTTATAGCAGCTTTAGTTGATTAGCCCCAAGCTGGATATAACAAAAATGTTCATCAGTGGTAAAATAGATAAATTGTGCCATATTCCTTCAACAGAATACTATACAGCTATGAAAGGGGTGAACCACGGGGCATGCAGCAAAGTGGAGGAATCTCTATAAAAGCCAGAGACAAGAGAGTACATATTGAATTTACACGAAGTTCAAGATCAGACAAAACCAATAAAAAATGACAGAAGTCAGAATCGTGGTTACCTTTGCAAGGAATATTCACTGACAAGAGGGCCCAATGGAGCCTTTTGGGGTACTCAAAATGTTCTATATCTTAAGCTGAGTAGTATTAACATACCAATTAAGAGTTGTGCAGTCTATGTATATTACATAATATAATACATAACACAATTTACAAGTATAAACAAAGGAAAGTGTGTCAAATTATAAGTGATACAAGTCCATGGATACAGAATATACATATATGGGAATTAAGGGGGCCCCCAGCCAGTGTGCTGGGTTTACCACATCCTGGGAAGATGGTCAGCACCATCAATTTTCAAGAATAACACTCAGCTAAGGACTCATGAAAAGAACATAAAAGACGAGATCTTTTAAGCACCAATTGCTGAGAAAAGCAAGAGAGAAGCTTGAATGCGGATGATTTTTCAATCTAGAACGTGGAGCAGAAGTTGCAGGGGTAGCTTGTTGGGAGCCATTTATAGCGACACAAACGGGTCTGAGAAGTACCCTGCCCTTCAAAGACCTCCTGGGGACTCTCACTGCAGTCTATCAACCGAGTCATTTTCTCAAACTTACACTTCTTTTTCAAGAAGCAGCACCTCCTTTTCCTTTTCCATCTGCCTCAGAATTTCCTGGTATTTCTTCTCATGGGAAAAAAAAAGAGTATTTATCATAATCAAGAATTTCTGCATATTTCATTACTACGTCATTGATGAAACAGTCTCCTAACTCCTAATATTCCAAATGGTGCATGCATGAATGTCCACACACAAGCAGGAAGATGTTCTAATAAAAGTTAGGAGATATTAGTGACCAGATGGACATACGTGGGGGGAGAAAAGAGTTCTCTCTTTGGATCCTGCTTGTATTTAATTCCCAGCTCTCACACTTACTATGTTTTCAGAGCACGTTACCAAACTCCTTGAAACCTGTGTCCTCTCGATTATAACAATAGCATCACCAAAGAGTTACTGGACAAACTGATTGAGAAAAATACTGTGTGTTGAGTGCTTAAGAATACCATGTGTGACAGTGCCCAGCACAAAGTAAACCCTCAACATACATCTGTTTTGTTGTTGTTGTATAAAAGGCATTTTCCCCAGGGTCAGATTTTAGCCTTATGAGGATCCAAGAGACCTTGGAGAAGTTCCTCCTCTACTCTGACTTTCCCCCAGAGGCAGTGTACCTTTATGTAGTGCGCCTGGTCTTCGCAGAGCTGGTACACAGATTGGTAGTCACTCTCTACCTAGAAAGAAAAGAAAATTAACAAATTTCATGGATTAAATCACAAGCAAGCCTCGGCTGCTCCCAACGGGCACCTTGGACATTTGGCTGGTTGCCTAGCAACTTCTTACTAGGGAAAGCCACCACATCACAAAGCAGTGATCTCATCATTCATGGGCAGGTTCTAATTCTGAGCAAAGGAAGTTGTTTGCCCAGCTTCTCCTATGCCTCTGGGGTGAAACATCAGGAGATGTTTCAGGGCACTGAGGTTTGGGCTTCAACGAAAGTATTTGAGTATTTGAGGTGGAGGGGTGTTTAAGAAATTGTAAGACCAGTATTTTTAATACAAGCTTTCTTTCCCTTCACCTGCAGAAATTCATCTGCCAGATGTTCCTGCTCCTCCCCTGCCCATGCCTTGAGCTATCCTGTTTCTAAGATCTCAGGGGTTTTCTTCCATTTACAAATGGAAGAGGGTCCTGCACAGACCCTCAGTGGGGAAGACACTGCCTCTACCTTGACTAGTTCCTTCTCTTGATTTGCACAGGACTCTGTAGACTGTTGTAGTCTCACCTACGGAAGATGGCGAGTGACAGCAGAAAATTAATAGCATGCTTTTGTGGAAGGCAAATGGGTAATGGTCACCCTCCCTCCAGACCAGCAATGAGCACGATAATAATGGCTATTCTAGAGGGAGGACAGACTATGACAATCTGGGGTGGGCACTGTTATTTTTAGTCCCATTTTACAGGTGAGACAAAGGCAAGGGGAGGTTAAGTGCATAACTGGTTTAAAAATCACACAGTAGCAGAGCTGACATTGACACCTTGGTTGTCTGACTGCCCAGTCTGTGGGCTTAATCATCCTCCTTCCTCCAGTCCAGCTGACCAAAACTCCCAGCCCCTTTCTCCCTCTTGTATTCCACAGGGCATGCTCAACATGCCACCTGAATCACGGAGCAAAAGAGAAACCTCCAGCCTCTTTTCTGGAGGGAAACAGCACAGTAGGGCTCTGGCGTGGTGTGCTCAGCCAAATTGCCATGTTCGCCACATGAAGCTGCAGAGAGCTTCTCCATAGGATTTCTGCCCTCACCTGGGCATCCAATTCATTCATTCCTTCAACAGCTATTTACTGGGCTACTACTACATGCCAGCCACTGGGGAAATAGGAGTAAATGACAGACAAAAATTCATGCCCTCTTTGAGTTTACCTTCTAGTAGAAGAAAAGGATAAAATATATTGAAAAATAAAACATCCTTGGCTTGTAAGCCATGGGTTGGAAAATCAGATAAGACTGTTGATACATCCCTCTATCATTGTGAAAGTTAGTAGTCCTTCCTTCTTGACTATCTGTACTTGTGTGCTGTTTAAATCATAAATTTCTTACACAAATGAACTCATTTACAAAACAGAAACAGACTCACAGATATAGAAAACAAACATATGGTTACCAGGGGGTAAAGGAGGTAGGAAGGGATAAATTGGGAGTTTGAGATTTGCAAATACTAACCACTATATATAAAATAGATAAACAACTGTATAGCACAGGAAACTGTATTTAATATCTTGTAGTAACTACAGTAACTATAGATCCAAGCGTAGTTACTCAGTAATGAAGTAGAATGTGAAAAGGAATATATGTATGTGTATGTATGACTGAAACATTGTGCTGTACACCAGAAATTGACACATTGTAACTGACTATACTTCAATTAAATAAATAAATACAAAAAATGAAAATAAACCATAAACTCCTTGAGGGCATGTCCCAATGGGTATTCAGAACGTGTGTCTGTGACTGGTGGATGGTGAGGTCTCTGGAGCAGCGCCTCCACTTAGGTTCTGTCGTAGTCATCTCTGCCACCAGTGTGACTGACAATGCTGTGAATACTGCCCAAGTCAGAGAGTGAAGCAGAGGAAACAAAGGACGTGGGCTCACCCCTAGAAGCTCACAGACGGACGTAGCCTGGGAGAGTCCTTGAGACTCATGCCTCCCAAAACTTAGGACTAACACATCTCCCAGAGAATCTCTAGCCTTGTGTTTCTACTCACCTTTAATTCTGCCAACATCTGCTTTAGGGTTTCTTTATCAAGGCCAACATTCTTGAATCTTCTTGAAATCTGAAATACCATGCCCCAGATTGTACACTGAGTGAAGCATACACATGAAACATGGGATAGAGGCAGGCTTGACGATCTCAGGACCGCAGAAGAATGGTTAATTAGTTCAGATTCCAAATAGAAGCTTGATAGAAAACTACCTCCGTCTCCTTGTGGAAGCTGCCTGACTCCCTGCTGGCTGGACAGACCTTTTTGTTTCCATAGTGCATGAAAACCATGGCACAGGGAGGTGAGGAAGGGAGGGAGGGAAGGAAGAGGAAGTGGGGCAGAGAAGTTGGGGGAGGAAGGGACAAATCTCTCCCTCCACATTTCTTTGGCCTTCCCACCACAGATCTGTAATCCGCAGAGGACAAAGGATGGTATCAGTTAATCAGAGTCTGTTCTAAGAGATTTGGGAGGCGGGGTCAGGAGGGAGCACACGCATTTTGTAGGTTGCTCCTTCTCCTGTCTTTCTGACTGGAGAGTTCAGGAAGACGCTGACTCTATTGGGATTCCTAAGGAATGAGCCTCCTTTCAAGGGTAGACTTATCCTGGGACTTACCCTTGAAAACCCAGGGCACACCTTACCTCCTTTTGAACCTCCACCACATTCCTGCTCAGCATCTCCTTCTTTTTTTCCTGAGGAAAGAAAGAGGTAAAGGCAACTAACCCCACTCTGCTCTCACACCCTCCCCCTCTCCCCAAGCCACTGAAATTCCCTTTGGGATGAGGGGCGCCAGTGGGAAAAGGGCACTCTGGCCCCACACAGGTGACCTGGGACCAGAGCCCAGGCTTCACCCCGTTACAGGGTGCATCATTCCCAAAGCACCCTCTTACACAGCTGTGGTTTCTACAGACAAGGCAATGCCCTCAGTGATGGTCCCCTGGGAAAGAGAGCCGCAGACCATGAGCAGAACACATCAGACCATCCTTTTCCAGGTGCCTCCTTACCAGCTTTGCTGTCTCTACTTCCAGACCCCTTAGGGCTTCTTCCTTCTCAGATAGGATGTGGATCAGCTCCTCCCTCTCTCTGGCTTTTCCAACTGACAGGAAAACCTCCCTTTCCAGACTGAAAAACAGAGGCAGGCAGGTGTGGCTCAGTCCTAAGGAGGCTGCCAGGGCCCCAGCTTGGGAAGCTACTGCCAAAGTCTGGGTAGACTGCCCAATGCGGTGGCAATAAAATGTCAGTGTAATGTGGAAATCTAGTGCAAAAATCTGCACATAAAACTCTTTGAGGGCACCACCATTTATGCTTCAGAATTTAAATCACATGCCCAGATTCAAGGACAAAGAAGTTAACCTTTCCCCAACCCTCTCTTGATCCCAAGGGGCGTTCAGACGAGAAGTCCTTCCCCGACCAACTGCAAAGCCTGACCTCTGAACTGTTTCTTCTTTTTCTTGAATTTTTCTGAGAAGAACCAGATTTGCCTTATCCAGTCTCTGCAGGTCCTTTTCAAGGTCTGAGTTAAGGTAGTCGAGGTTCTGTTTTGTGGCTTCTAATTTCGGTATTTCCATCATCTCCTGCCTGCAGGAAAATTATCTTCATTACTAAACTCAGGACAGGAAAACATACGAGCTATCATCTCATTCATTTCCCCATCTTCTGTTGTGACTTTGCCTAACCAGCCCTCTGTTATCACTTTCCATGATAAATTGATGTCTACAGGGTTTTGCATAAAGTAAATTCCTAGAATCAAATCACATTTTCATTTTAAATATTATAAATGGAGCCCATTAAAATACAAATGTTTTATGAGGCAATAAAATATTTTTTTCATATGAATAATTATGCTCTAACTTATGTGTTTTCAAAAATTTTGTACAGAGTATGTGGAATCCAAGCCACACCTATAAAGCATTTAAATACCTGTAAGGGAGAGGAATGTCTTCAGTCTCCTTCTGTAACAGTTTCCTAAGAAGTTTGTTACATTGAGTACCTTCCACCCTAGTCAGGTAGGCACATGGGCTGGGTGGGGGCAGGGATAGTGATGGATTTTCCCCCCAAATAAGACTAATTTGCTTTTGGGGACATTAGTTACCTTGGAAAACCCCACTTATGGTATGGTGAATTCCAAAGAATGAACACCAAGCTCCTTCCTCCCTAGGAAGGCTTCTGGGCTGGAGGGGATGGTGTCTTGCACAGTGAAGGTTTTCTTCCTTACTGAATTGCTATAGTCACTTCCCACCCTAGTTCCTCATTCTCATTACTCACACATCATCCAATGGGTCCTGTCCAGATTCTCCCATGGTAGGTCTCCTAAATTGTTAATACAAACAGGTGTTATGGAAACGAAGCCCCTAGTATCCAACATAATCATTGGCTCAAGAGAAATGTTTTGACCAGGCAAGACAGATCCAAGAAGAAACCTTTGCCTCCTAGACCCTCTTGTATTCCAGGATCAATTGCTATACTTTGCTGAATTTCAGTAAGCCAGATCATATCTCATAAATGAATCTCATAAACGAATCCCACTGGAGTACAGAAATCTTTTTGTTTTCACAGTGTTTCACACTTTGGCTGCCCTTTCCCTTCTTTGCCTGCATTTGCCCAGTCACAGGTACAATGCTGAGAGGACTCAAGCTCTTGTCTATTGGCAAACACACGGAGAGTTTATTTCTAACCGTGACCTTCATGGAGACTTATGGGAAAAGAATAGTAGAAAAGTTGGGGGGCATCAAAAAGTTGACTGGCTGATTTCTGTTGGTCTATAGCCATCCTACTTTTTACCCAACTCTGGATATTATGGCTGGGTTGATCCTGAAATGGGAGCAGAAACAGCAGCATGGACAACAGGATATAACTGTTGAAAAGAAGAAAACAAACGTTGGGCTCTCAGGGATGGTATCACTCCATTGCTCCATAATTAAAGTTTAGGACTGAAACTAATCTAAGAAAAGTAAAACACCAAATCTCCCTTTACCTTCCATCTTTTCTTTCTTCTCTTTTCTTTAAGTTATTTTGTTTTAATTATCTTTCTAATTCCTTCCACCTTCTTCTCCTTTCATAGCTCACCCTGTGTTTTCCTTTTCTTTCTACTCTCTTCACACACAAGGCGTCCCAGCCTATGACGATGCCCTCTGAGCTTACCCTTCTCTTCCCGACAGAGATCTCTTCTGCTTCCACTGAGGTTTCCAACTGAATGTCAGAACTTTTGGAAAAGGTATTTCCTGGATGATTGAATTCTCCACATATAGCTGGACCTGTCATCTCTAGCAGGGTGGGGCAGCATGTCATAGAGGGTAGGGGTGGGTGGGGTGGAGGCGACTCATCGTCATCCCAGTAGGCAGAGTGGGAGCAGAGTTCAGAATGTTAGGATAGTTTAATTCTCATCCTAAAGAGCAATAATATCTATGGAACAAATTTCTGAGTACAGTTTAAATCGCTTTGGAAACAGCAGTCAACTCTATGGAACACATTTCTTCATTTTTGCAAATCCACAGGCCTAGTAGTAATTGATATCACTTATTTCCTTCACAAGCTCTGTGTGATATACGTGCAAATGGCTGCACCAAATCCAGACCTGGTCAATGCATCCAAGAGGCGTGAGGTAGGAAAGTCTGAGAGCAGGAAGGATCTGAGAGATGTCTTATCCATGAGCCCAGCAAGCCCTTATTCCCACCAAGTTGGATTCAAAACAAAGCTGCAAAACAAACTCCTTTATTTTCCCTGAAGAAACTGCCAAATTGTTGGGAAGGAAAGGTCTGATGTTTTGAAGATGGAGAATGATATAAAGGTAGAGCAAGAAGGAGGGAAGAGGAATGTTAGGACCAGACACCCACCTCTACTGCCCACTCTTTCAGAATTCTCTCCTCATTTTCTGAGGTCTTAAATTATTTGAACTGTAAATGGGATTTGACATATCAGTGTCACTCTCCTAACCAGTTTTGGATTCATGTCTGTGTTGACTAAGATGAAACAGGATACAGAATTGGTGAGATATCAGTAAAGGTGTGTGCCAAGACTCCATATCTGTCCATTTCTGTCCCTTACACTCAATTTACTCTGTGATCTAAGTCTAACCTTTTCCAGGTAAATTTTACTAATCTCAAGTCCCTGGAAAGGTCCTACAGAACACACCACTGTCTCTCCAGGAAAATATCTCCCCCACACAACAATTATCTGTCATAATCATATCCATCCTTCTCAGCACAGCTCAAATGCCACTACCCCAACACCTTCACAGATACCAAACCCCAAATTCTGGCAGAATTAATCCCTCCAATATCTGTTCTCCTCTTTTGGTCTTTTAGGAATGTGCACACACTGGTCTTTATTCCACAATTGGCCTATTAACCGCTTGCAAGAATGTCTTTTAATCAAAGCCATTTTGATTCCCTTCCCCAGTTGTGCTCCAGGGACACCATTTGCAGAGTTCAATGGGAATGGTGCCCCCTGGAGTTGTTCAAGAAGGGGATGCTTCTGCAGATAGAGAGTGGAAGTAGAGGGAGTTAGCTCCAGAAAGCACCTGAGTTTCATTCTATCTTTGTAGTAGTGTTACTTTGGGCAAGCTACTTGATCACTCTGAGCTCAAGTCTCCTGACCTGTGAAATGGGCCTTACTCCTACTTAACACAGTCATGGTAGAGATTAAATGAACTATTATATGTAAAGCTCCTAACACAGTACGTGGCATTCATAAATACTTAATTCTCATCCATTCTCCAACAAGATATATGTCTCATTTTTCTATCTTATATTACCTTTGCACATGGTGTATGCTTGATGTTTGTAGAATGAATGAATGAATGACTCATTCCACTCCCTCTATCTAGAACCAGTGTTCTCCTCCCTTTCCTTCCAACCCACCTGAGAGACACTCCCTTGTACATACTGTCATTAGTACATTCTCATTAGCAACACAGTGCCCCATAGCAGGATTCTCAGCAAAGGGCCACGGCCCCCAGGAGGCTGATCCACAATCCCTGGGGATGCAATTTGAAAACCTCTATTAACAAATGCCCCAGAGCAGTAGTCCCTCTGATTGAGAATCAGTGATGAACATATTCTTTCCACCAAACTGTACCCCTCCTTTCCTTAAAGATACTGCACAAATTCACCCCCTCCATAAAACCTTCCAAAAATGAACCCTTCTTACCTTACTGCCCCAAGTAGACACTTTGAAAGTGACCATGTTTCCCTTTTTATTTTGATACCAAGAAGCAAAAACGCCACATTAGAAGCTCTCAATTTTTGTGACCATCCTGGACATTGTGGTCGGTGCATCTTTCCTTTGGCCTTATTCTTCTACTCATTTCACATGGTACTGATTTGTAACTTATTTTCCACTATTCTGTGTTAAATAAAGATAAAGTAGTTCCAGATGATGCAGCTATAAGTAAACATAGAGATGGGCATAGTTATAGATATAAATAATACCAAATAGATACAGATTTGAGATGGGTAGTGGGTTTGAACATTAGCTTTGGAATCAGAACAAAGTGATGTGAACACCTGCTCCACCACTTTCCAGATGTGAGGTCTTGGACAAGTCATTCAACCTCTTGGGCTTCAGTTTCCTAATTTGAAAAAATATATAGTATGTACCTACTTCACAAAATTATTGTGAGGTTTAAAAAAAGGACCTATCACAAGGCCTGAAACAAATTCTAAATGCTCAATAAATGTTAACTATGATTATTTAGTCATTATTACAAGCATCTCAACTCTGGCACTGTTGACAATTTTCTCTCCATCCATCATCCCAGGCAGTTCCTCCAGGCTCCATCTTCACCAGCCTTCTAAGCCTGTGCTCTGGTCTGGTGGCTCCCCATTCCTTCCTTTGCCACATCTTTCTTTAGTTGCTACTTCACTCTTCAGCCCTCTTGACTTCACTTTCTTGCTGCCAAGGTGACCTTGGGTATCCTGGCTTTTCCCCTGGATACTGTTCTTGGACTCTCCCTTAGTTGCTCTTTCTGTCACCTGTAAACCATCCTCCCCCAACCCTGTACCTAGTCTAGCACCTGGAACAGTAAGTCAGTCCCCTTTGCTTTTATCTAGGGTGTGAGGGCTGTCAGATGCTTCAAATATTTCGTAGTGAAAAAGGATACGTGATGACCACAAAAGTGGTCAACAAAATGAGCCCTAAGTGGATTTACTTGCCAGAGAATGGAACCTAGACCAGTAAACGAATGGCTTTTGTTTCACTGAGTAAATTGGCTGGGGGAGAAAAGTGGAGGGGTGATTATTGTTAGAAACATGAGTTGGGTGGGTTTTACTAGTTAACAATTGAAAGTTTGCACCCTGGAGAGGGAGAAATGTATCCATCGATTTGCATCAGTTGGCTTAAAACAAATATTTTCATTGGTCAGGAAAGAGTTTCAATTATGCTGGTAAGGAGCTAGCATGCCAGGAACTCTTAAAATTCTTTTCCTTAAAGTTCCTTCTCGCCAGCAATGTATGAGTTTCTCTGCATCCTTTCTAGCACTTGGTATTGTTGTTATTATGTTATTTTTATTTTTAAGTTATTTTATCCCTTCCAGTTTTAATGAATTATAACTGACATACAGCACTGTACAAGTTTAAGCTATACAGCGTAATGATTTGACATACATGCATCATGAAATGACCACCACAATACATTTAATGAAAATCCATCATTGCCCATAGATCCAAGTTTTTCAAATAAAAAAAAAATTTCCGTGTGATGAGAACATTTAGAATTTAGTCTCAGCGACTTTCATATACAACATACAGCAATGTTAACTGTATTGATCATGTTGTACATTATATCCCTAGTATTTATTTAACTGATAACTGGACTACCCTTCTCCAATTCCCCCTTTCTCCAAGCCTCACCTCTAGTAACCACAAATCTAATCTCTTTTTCTGTTTGTTTTTGAAGTGCAATTGACTTACAGCACTCTGTTCGTTCCTGTTGTGCAAAACAGTGATTCAATATTTCAATACATTTCAAAATGGTCACCAAGACAAGTCTAGTTACCATCTGTCCCAATACAGAGATAATACGTAATTATGACTATATTTCCCAAACTATGCATTTCATATCTCATTAATAAGTAAATTCATTTATTTTGCTACTGGAAGTTTGTGCCTCTTAATCTTCCTCACCTATTTCTCTCATCTCCCTACCACCCTACCCCTGGCAACCGCCTGTTCGTTCTATCTTTGAATCTGTTTCTGTTTGGTTATGTTTGTTTATTTGTTTTGTTCCTTAGATTCTACGTATCAGTGAAATCATAGTTTCTCTGTCTGACTTAGTTCACTCAGCATAATACTCTCCAGGTCCA